TTTTTTTTTGGTCTTTGCGAGTTGTCTAAGATTGAAAGTAAATCTATCTTGTTATAAAAAGTGCTGTATTTGACTGCGTATAATATGTTTACAACATATATATATGAAACATTTGTGTTTAGGTTTATAAAAGAATGGGACAAATTAGCTATGTGGAAACAGCTTGGATTTCCACTCGAAGAAGCCACCACAATTGATATTAATGCTACTGTATCGCTGTTCACCACCCGTCCGTCACTAATGAATACATCCTTGGACACTATTCGACATTACTTACATGCAAATGCTGAACTGTCTGGTAAGGAAAAGCTCACAGCGACATCAATTGTCGGCTGGCTACAAGAAGCTGGTGCAAACCGCATCGTTACTGGATTAGGTGGACATGGAGTTGCTGGAGTATTCAGTGGTTCTAAAACAGGACCAAGAGTGATGCTACGTGCTGAGCTTGATGCTTTACCGATCACTGAAAAAGAAGATGGACGAGAGTGGCGTTCACAAAATGAGCATGTCGCTCATAGCTGTGGTCATGATGGACACATGACTATATTGCTTGGTATCGCTAAAAAACTCGTCAGCACATCTCCTGTTCGTGGCGAAGTAGTATTACTCTTTCAACCTGCCGAAGAGACTGGAGCTGGTGCGAGAGCTGTGATTGAGAGTGAAAAATTCGATACATCACTGTACCCTGATGTTGCTTACGCTCTGCATAATCAACCTGGACGTCCCTTTGGTGAGATCTCGATACGTGAAGGATCGTTTGCTTGTGCATCGCGTGGTATGATTATTAGACTACATGGTTACTGTTCCCATGCTGCTCATCCAGAACAAGGACTCAGTCCAGTTCGTGCAATGTGTCGATTGTTAGAAGCACTAGAGCAACTACCACAATCCTTACCGACATCTAAAGATCTTCGGTTGGTAACAGCAGTTCATGCCCAACTGGGTGAAGTGACATTTGGTACAACGCCTGGTGAAGCAATAGTTATGGCCACACTGCGAACAGCTACCGATGTTCTAATGCAACCGTTGGTAAAAGCTGCGCATGACCTAATCGAACGAGTAACACAAGAAGCAGGACTCACGTATGATATTGAGTTTAGAGATATATTTGCCGCAGTAATCAATGATCAACAGGCAACAACAGATGTAATTCATTGTGCACAGAAATGTGGAAAAATGTTAACATTATTAGAAGCAACCAATCGCTGGTCTGAAGATTTTGGTGTCTATTCTACTGTGTGTCGCTGTGCTATGTTTCTCTTAGGTGCAGGTGAGACGGCTCGTGTTCTTCATGATTCGGCTTACGACTTTCCGGATGCACTCATTGAGCATGGAGTGGAAATGTTTTGGGCATTGTTAAATGAGCAGCAGTTGTTTGCTGATTGAAACGGACTATAATTGATCTTAATCCTAACGCAAAAAATAATTGTGATTATGTAACTTGTAATTTTGTTAGCACATATTCTTTCATACACTTGTAACCGTTAATGCTGTGCTTTTAATTTTGTTTGCCGATTATAAAATATGATTTTAGTGAAAACAAAAATCGATGGATCCCTAATACAATATTCGAACTTGTAGACTTGAATTCTGACAGAGTGAGGATACGGGTGTCGATGAAGAGAACTTCACATCCACACCTTGAGTGCAGGGAAAAGACATTCCATACAATAATGTGGTCCACGAAGATAGATATACATAGTACGTTCTTTGGATATGTCATAATCTACGAGCATTCTATCATCATCATATAAGAAATCATGTAAATATTTTAATTTAAAAAGTCAGAGGGATACCTTCATTGTCCCCTATTGGACGTTTTAGCGTGAGAATAGTGTCAGTGAGTTCTATTTCACAAGTTAACACTCTTTCAGTGAAAGTGTTCACAAATATATGCATATTTTGTTTCTTGCATGGCAATGAATTATAACAAGAGTGATCTATCAGAAAAAATATGCTTACATGAATGTTTTGAATAGTTTTACTTCTTAGGCTATAATAATGAAAAGACAAATTTTAGTTTTTTGTCTTGTGTACATGGTTATTACATGGATACATGCAACAATTTATTAATAAATCTTATCAATTGCATGTTCATCAACAATAATTTAATACTTTATAATCGTTTTCGAAACTTTAAAATAATACTCTTTTTCATTAATTGTAACTTTATTGGAATTTTATCTTAGTAGACTTTTATAATTTCGTTTTATTTATAGACGGAATATATATATAGCAATTATAAATGTTGTCAGCAATTTCATCAAGTTAAACTTTTCCTCAGTAAATCGTTGTTTTTAGGATGTGGGTGTTAATCAGCTTTTAACTCAACCAACATCCACACCTACACTCACATCCCAAACTACAAAAAATCGATACTTTTCCTAGACAAGCAGAAACCAACAGAAGACGTCCAAGTTGACTAGTGTCAAATGTTCAGACTAGCGTATGGTCTAGTGTAAGATGACCTAGAGTTGATCAGGACTGGTCATCTTCACAAAAAAGTCGTGTAAATAAACATGAACCAGTCCAGAAAGTGTCCACAACATGTTATGACTAGTCTGTTTCATCTATTCATATTATCCAGACTCGTCAGTTAAACAAAAAGCAGAAACAGATCGGTGACATTAGATAGACTCGAACATTTAATCCGACCATATTAAATATTTGATTAGTTTGGGCTGTTTTATAGAATTATGTGGACTAGTGTGCAACGTTATTTCCATTGTTCATGACAACAGTAGTTTGTTTTTGAGACAGTAATAATAATCCCCATTAAGACTAGTTTGAACTTTTCAAAAAACAAAATCTCTTTTGCTTCGATCTTCTTTTTCAAACAACTTATTTAGAGTGGTTCGTATTCGAACTAGAGGTATGTGTAATATGGTGCAAGAAATTTTCAAGCATTATTTGCATTATTTCTTGTAATATCTATTTGAGAATTAGAGGCATTATAATGCAAATCAGATAGTAAGATATAAATCATTTTATTTTCATTAT